CAAACGTGCTGCAGTAATCAGCCCTAGTAAAGCAGTATCCTTTTTATACACACACCACTCCAGCCGAAATTCAAGTCCAAGTCCAAGCCTCAAAGTCTGTGCTTGTCGCAGGAGTTCAAATTCCAAGCTGCTGGATAATAAGCCGAGCCGTAACTTGTGTGGACCCTAATAATAGGACAGACGGATACGGACCGGCACAAGGGGGCAGCCCATGTGAAAGAGAGGTTGGATGGAAAGCAATGGTACCTGAAGCGTTGAGAGGTGCTCAAGCTCTGTTATCTCAGACGGTCAAAGCAAGGGACTCGAGACCAAGTTGTCTAGAGGATACAATTCACATGTTGAGGAGGGGAGTGTTGAGAGAAACTGATAAGACGGACTGTCGATATGGGAATGAAGGGGGTGTGGCTTGTTAATCCCATCCAATTGATCACTATCAATTGCAGCCATGTGGATTGCAAGCAAGATAGCCGGGCTTCTCGAAGATGTAATTATAGGGGACCTTGATGTCAGCATTATAGACGGGAACTAGGAAGAAAGAAAAAACATCCGATCGAATCCGTACCTGAATTTTTTCAACTAAGAGACGATATTTCTTCAAACCCCATCTCATCACATCGAACCTTGGCTATGCTTATCTGATCTACATTTGATTTACACACGCTTCAGCAAGACAGACCTTTGCACTTACATAAAATCGGTGCATCAAACATCACAGTACATTAGTTTAGTGCTGTCGCATACATAGCCCGGTCCCGCTGTGGAAGAACGCTCCGCAAATATGCGTAAAGCGTCAGATCCCCCATGCATGACCTTATCATTACGGAGCCGAATTGAAAAGTCATTGGGCACTCTTTTCTCTCTAAAAAAGGGGGACCCGCTATCCCGTTGCTGCCAGAGAGTGGATGATCTTTTAATCTGACCCTAACGGCCTAAGGGGGTTGTTAAACACATGTTTCACTTGATAAAGGTCAATGGCTGATAAGTACTTTGTTTTATATAGGTAGTCTAGTTGTTCTATCTCTAGGTGACTTTATCTACTAATTCTAAGAATGAATCATCTACTATATCATGTTCTGATAGATGCTCGGCTCGCAATGAGAAAAGGCTTCAACACAAAGCTGACGTATCTTCTCGGCCTCTTGGCGGAACCCGTGGCTCTGCAACTGTTGCACCGGCTTGGGTCATTCTTGTGTCATTTCTTTTTTCAAAATACCTAGCTTTTTTTTTACTTTCAATTTGGTCACGCTGACCCTCCCTCTTTCGCTTGCCTTAAACCACCGCAAGAGCCTCCTCGTCGAGGCGATCCATGTTCCTTTACATGGAACAATTGATGGTTCGTGTTGACAATTGGGTCATATGATTGGACAATTTGATATAGTAGTTGATTTTCGTACGCTTTAATGAGGCTACAAAGCTACTAATATTTGCTAGGTTATCCATGACGGGTTCATGTCTATCATTCATAGGAGATACTGACAACTGAGAAAGATGAAGTGCTGAGGCGTTGAGAAGGTGACGTAGTATAAAGTTTCAAACCCTTTTGATTCATGCTCAGTGAGAACATGGCGTTGTTATGATTTCCTCCAGGGACTAGGATCTTAAGACGAGGTTCTCACATCGAGCAGAAACAGTTCTCAATTGTACGTAACAATGTTTCATGCAAACTACATGTCACATTTCTTTTTATTGCCCACCCAAAACGTGTTGTTGCGGACATCTCCGTTTGTATCACACAGCATCAACACAGTAACAGCCGGATCATCATTGACAGTTCCGATGATTCTCTACACATTCTTCACCCCAACCTCTTTCATCGATACCAATTAAAGGCTATCTTAATTCATTCTAGCACCGGAGCTTTCTTTGGTGGAATTTTAAAAGGCGTCATGTGATGCTTCAACGCGAGCCACCAAGATCATGACATGTTCCAATTATTTCATGATAGTGTTGAATATGCATACAACCAGATCACCTGCGCCAAACAGTGTCGATTTCAAATCGTACATCACTCTAATAATCCCTTGACCCCAGATTTGCCAAGTCCAAGATCCCAGCAACTCGCTCGGCAATATCTCATGGCTTTTGGAAACTGGGGAGACACGTGCTTCGATACTGGTTCGATGATGAGAAACCCGGTCTGAAGCTTATAAATTCCTGGCTGATATTACACGGCATTCACTGTGACCAGTAAAGGTCTCGACTGGTGTCGTCCTGCCACGTCCAGCATTTTCAGTCGCTGATGGGGAAGCATGGACCGCCCTTCGAATTCCCACCCTCATCATCATAGCCAGCTCATCAAACGATTTCTAATGACACAATAAAACCCCCGGAGACACGTTTTGTATAAACTCCGATGAATGGCTCCAACCCTTGTTGTGCGGCGCTTTGGCTGAATTATGGTTTGTAGCTTTCCCCTGAAATAGTGTTCAGAAACATGTTTGTTCCTGGATTAAGTTCTTCTAAGTCAAGGAAGACGCATTGATTACGAAATGAGAATAAACCATACACGACGCTGTTCCCATATCCTCTGTGGAGGGTGTGTTGTTAGAAGTTATTCAGAGCATCATTGTCATGATATCCCCGCTCATATGTGTTGGTCTGCAAGACAGAGGACAAGATAATTCTGACTGCAGATTTTAACGCAGCGCGACGCGGCTATCAATGCCACCAAGAGTTTGCATAAGACGATGAATGCTACTCCTGCAACATTTTACTAATTGGAATTGTGCTGGGTCTTTGATCCGACGAGGAGTCGTAAAATATGGAGTTACCCTACACCATCAATATCTCAACCCCACTCAGTAGTCCGAACAAAACACTGCTGATAAAGCCCACGAGTAACATCAAGCTTCATTATTTCGTCTGAATGCAGCTTGTGCGCTTCAATATCCAAACCATCCAACATTTCTACTCTCAAGCTATAGTAGCCTGTCCTGTGGCGGCACGTCCCATCCCGCTAGAGTGGCTCTCACCAACACCATCACCAACTGACTATCAAGACCTCTACCATGGCAGATGCCTTGGACTAAGACATCCTTACCTCAATTGTCCAATCATCAAAGCTGGCGATCTACCCCATGTTTTAGTTAGATGCATTTTTTGTGTTTATCTCAACCCTAGAAGATGTGCATGTCACTCCCTGACCAATCGTCGTTCTTCTTCCAACAACGTGCCTTGACTTCACCTTGTATGACGTTCCAGAGCTCAACTCAACACAAACCCTCCTCCGGATCTCGACATCTTGTCAAGCAAAGACACGCATGCACACACCCCTGGATACGTCTCAAGAGATAAGTTGATCGTCTCAAGTAAGACATGCTCTGTTTGTTTGGCTCAGGGCCGATTCAGGGGAAATTGGAGGCGAGAGAGACCGTGGACGTAAACTGGTCCATTACCGCCCTATGTCGTGTGCTTCTATTTCACTCTGAACTCGGGTCTTATCTGACGAATGCCATTGATGCAGCCTTTAGCCGTCTCGACCGGTTAAAGATCCGGTCGAGTGTGACTATCTGACTGGAAATGCAGAGCAACCAGAATCCGCACTTGATCAGAGTCAGAATCCCTGCCACTCAGTATTCCACCTTCGTACGTCAATGTTGGAAAATTTCGAAAACGATGGATACAAACCCACAGAACTGAAGATTTTGCAGTCATATGACTCTTACACGATGGGTCTCTGTCTGCCAAGCTGGCCTCGAAATCGAGAGACGAGAGACGATAGCCCTAACTTTCGAACAAACTCTGACCATGACGAGATATTATGTGGAATTACACCTCTCAGATCCGACTAATAAGATCTTTCCGTTCAAGCAGGCATGCCTTCCCGGGACCGGACTGGGCGGACAAGTTCTCCGCCCTCAATTCCGCCATTGTCGCTCTTAGCTTGGATATCCAAATGACCTTGAAGACGAGGCGGACTCCATCCCAAGGCAAAGCAAATTGTGAATACACTATTGCATTTGGTGTCAAGGCATGATCCTGGAATATAGAGACACGTTCTGTCCTGCTTCTAATCTACCCGACGGAATCCCTTCCGGCCCTGGACTCGGCTGGAGCTTTTACTTCATGGCACGCTTCGATCAAAGTCATCATCGATCTAGCAACCCATACACAAACAGTTCTTCTAGTAGCCATGTGCTTTCCGGGCATGGTCGCACCGCTAGGGGCGTGAATTCAGGGCGCAAAAGTATGGTCAACGTTGTCCATGTATCTCCCCAGAATCCAGACAAACGAAACTTGGCAAAAGTATTACTCGCTGTCATGATTGACATTGGAAGATCCATTTGAAAGATTAATTATAGATCTGTGAGTTGTCGTGGCTCTGGCGAATCAGATCCGGGACCTCGGGCTCATGGGCTATAGTCGCAGATGTAGGGAGACAGCATTACATGCCATGCGTTATGCACATCTCACTGAAACCGGCGATTTGATTAATAAAGCCCTTTGTTTCTTTGTCATGTTTAGCATTTGAAAGAAGCGGTGTCAAGATCGGATGCTAAGGAAATTAATCTCAAGTAAAGTTGTCTACATAGCAAGGAAACGGGAATGTTGGTCGTCGCACGTGGTTGTAACAATAGGCAACAAGTCTCTCCAGTAAGTGGTTTCATACGTAACAAGACATGTTAGTGCAGCGGCTTGATCTTATTGTTTGTTGGGATGAACCTTACTCTGCTGTTGTTTCTTTGGATATCGGTCACTCATCAAGGTATAGCCGCCCATGGACTGTAATCAGATAATCTTCTTAATGTAATTTCGCATTGAATGGTTCTACACTGAGGTATTTGCCTACCATACGCCGAAAATAAGACAAACACCGCCGAAACCTGACCTTTATTCCATGATATCATGTCCTTTTAACCCCCCAACTCCTGGCACATTCCCAACTAGAAGATGCTCGGCATTAAACGCCATTTAAATGATAAAAGTCCCCCTTTTATGCATGCCTGTTTGAACTAGGCCTCAGATGAGGCTCGGAAATATTTGTACGATGCGTAATGATGTTAATACCATGGGCTCTGGTGACCCTGAGTCAATCCAGGTGATTGTATCATGGTGTTCGTGTCACCAACGCAATTGAATTCTTCCAGCATAATGTCCGCGACCATGTCAAGCGGATCCTGCGACTCTTCGGTTTCTTGATCGCTCTTAGTAGGATCTGTAGAAGTTACCGGCTGTCGCAACTGGTCTGCTGCAAGGAACGTGTCTGCCATAGCATCTGGCAAGGGGCTACCGACAGTGCGCTGTGATTCTGACGGCAAGAGACGCTGATGACGACGGATGATGGGTCCTTGAGAGACGGCCTTGAAGTGTTTCTGGAACTTGTCACCTTCTGATGTGGGCAGTTCGGACGTAGGGGCATCAGGCGGTGGAGAGCCTTGACGTCTGATGAGAGAAGGGCAAGGCGTTGCAGGCATGCTCGATTCCGAGGCTCGCCAATTGGGTAATGGTGCGAAGGAGACACGGCGCTCAGAACTCTCGCTCTCCCAGGGATTCTTGGTTGCTGAAGCCAAGACAGCCTGCGTGCTAGGAAGGCCAGATCCAGACTTCCTCAAAACAGCACGCTTAGCTCGACGAGAGCTGCGCTCAGGAGAAAGTGATCTAAAAGAGGCAAATGACTTGACCGAGAATTGAGGCTCAGGTGTTAGTGTCATAACGGGAGTCGCAGCTATACAACCCTCTCGTGTCTGGGCGTTGACTTTAGCCCCGATCATCGGTGTAGCCGACTCGTGAAGCACTTGATCCCTCTTTCCAGCAATAGGTGTATTCTGGAAAAGGTTGACTGGTGGATCCGCCGCCTTGTCCGTCCAAGCAGTCTGCTCTGGACTGGTTGGAATTACAGCGACATTCGTTTCCGCTTGCTTCAATCCTTGGTCTTTCGTGTGTGACAAGCCAAGAGGCAGCATAGCATGCTGAACCCATGGGCTCTGTTGGGAGAAAGGAACTGGTACATGTTCCTTGGAAGCCAATTGATCCAGTTGCTGCTTCGTATGTTCATGTATAGGAGTATTGACAATAGTCGGAGAAGTGTCGTGATTCCATGGCTGGCTTGCGTTAGAATCCCGCTCAGTGGTTGTCGTCTTGGGAGTTGAGTGAGTGGAATTAACTTCTATTTGGTTCTCTTGGACAATCACAGGGTTCGGTGCTGGACTCGACAAAGTGGTGGTTCCTCCACTAGTCCATGTTTGTTGCGGAAGGCTCGCTGTTGCAGACGGGAGATTGCAACTATGGGGGTTTAGTGAACCGGTTTCAGAAAGTGTTGTCTTAGCCTCTTGCTCTACAGTTGAAATTTGTGGCGTCTTGTTGTTGGACGTTGCCGATGGTGATTTGATGTCCGGGGTATTCTCCTTGCTAGACCCATCGCTCTCGTGTTCGCCCTCATCCTCCTCATCAGATTCTTCCCCTGGCTCAGTTCCACTAGCCTCCAGATGCTCGGCAATAGCCAAGTCCTCCTCGTCCTCAGGTGCCTCTTGCATATCCACATCTTGGGCGCCATGGTCTCGCTGGGGTTCGTCAACAGGTCCTGGAGCAACAGAGGTCGAGGAGTTGGACCGAGATTCATCAGAAAGACCAGAATCAGAAGTTGCTGAACTGGTCGTTGAGGATGACGAGCCGGTAGTGGTATCCGTTGATTCCTGGAGATGCTCAGTCTCATCGAAATTTCCACTAGAAGTTGATACTAATGGGTTTGTAGTGCTACATGAGCCTGTATCCGCGAGCGACTTCGAGATTGGAGGGATAATATGCTCCTCTACTGGCGTACTATCTTCCAGTTCAGATACAGAAGCAATACTATCCATATATTGGTCGGGGGATGATATTCCAGACCAAGAGTCTTCGTTGTCTTCAACCTTAGATTCGTCTTGTTCCGAGGTGGATTTGGGAACTTGACCGATCCTTGGTCGCATTTTGAAGCAAAAACTTTCATCTTCCTGTGTCTCAAAAGCTGTTCCAGTGATGTTTTTGTTTGATAAAGCACTCTGTGGCTCCGCAACCAGATGTCCGGAAATGGACCGCTGCTGGGTTCCTGGAGTCTTGCTTGGTGTTTGTTGCTCAGGGGTGTTTTGTGATAGGAAGCTGGCTTCTAGGTCCAGAACTGGAGTGTACTGCAATTGCGACAAGGGCGACGAGGAGTCTGCAGAAGTATCATCCGGTGTGGTCTCACCACGAGACAGCTCGTCTTCCGAAACATCAGGCTCATCCCTGGCATGTGAGAAAAACCGACCTGCTGGGATGGATGAGGACGGCAAGTGATCAGGTGCACTTGTAATGGATTTATACATCGTATGAGTCGTTGGTGTTAGAACTTGAGGCCTGTGTCGTATTGGAGTGTCGACGGACCCCGACTCCATGATGTCTTTTCGTTGACGTTTACTCGCCAATAGTTTTAGCCACGAAGAACCATTTGCTTTTCTCTTTCTCTCAGATGTTGATGTTTGCGTGGCAGACGTCCAGAACTCATCTCTCTGTCCCTTCTCCGACTTGACAGTATCCCTCCATTGTTGAACCTTGACCAACTCGTCATCCTCCAGGTAAGGATGCGTTTCGGTCTCAGAAGTCCGGTTCAGGCTTTCGGGGCTCGGGAGGTGGCATTCCAAACGGTCGTGGGGCGGAAGCTGTGTCTCTGGTATCGAAGAAATGCGCTTGACCCTGGCTGATCTTGCCAACTTCCCAGGTGAGGTCCTAATTATTGCCGAGGTACCAGCAGTACGGTGTTTTGACCTCCACGGATTCAACCAATTTGTCGAGTTTGATTGAAAGGGGCCTTTAAGGGTCGCTGTTACAATAAGTGGTACTTTCCCCTCAAGAAATCGTTGGCCTGCTGCTTCATATCGAAGTTTTCGTGAGTCAGGATTGTCGTAATCTTCGTCTTCCGATCCTTCGTAAAATACATCACTAGGGTCGCAAGTCGCTTCGCAATAGATTGTATCTTCCCCCCATTCAAGTGCGAGCTCGTCCGCTAGCGGGTCGGCACACTGGAGTGCCATAATTTCGGTGGTGGAGGGTTTCGCCCTCCGCGTGGTCAAAAGTTGTCTTTGATAGCGGCATTCATGGATTAATACCCTTTTTTTGGTGTAACAATACTGCTGTATCGTTTAACTTTGATCGTGAACTGGAATTCACGGCCGCCGATCACCAGGGAAACGCGCCCTATGAGAGTCACGTGGTATCGCGTAAAGTGCATTTCAGCACGTCATGACTTTCAGCAAAGACCCTGACCGACGTGTTAGTTCGTGAATCTGTTCGAAATTGACGAAAAGTTGGCAGAATGATATTTTATTCAACATAAAAAGATTATTGCACCGAAGAAATATGCTGTTATGAACGTGAAAACAGGATTTTGTCTATGAAGCTCCGCTGAGTAGGCACTGGAACAAAGAAACGCTTGCGTAGCCTATCATCAACGTTGTTGGACACATGATCAATCACAACAAAGAAAACATAGCTAGTCAACTGGTACTACACAATAGTTAGATTCCCCACCATCTTATCTATCAATTTCACAAGATGCAGACTTGAGATGATGACGCTAGCACGTGATCTTGACAAGCACCATCTGTTGACACAGCAACGAGACTAACCGGAACCAGCACCCTGGTCTTGTTTATTCCGAACTTGATGTTCAAGGGTACGCGCAAACATCCGCCTCACGATCTCGATTTCCCCATGCTTCTGTTTGTTTAATGTTTTTGTTGTGACTTCATTTCTATTTCTCAAAACCCTACTCTACTACTCTACTCTTTATCAATCCGTGGTCTTAATACAGTCTCACTTCAGCATCCAACATACCTCCCTTCCGTTCTTCTGTACACGCGTGTCGCATACACAACTCCTTTTCGACCCCACCATCCTCCGTCGCAATATAATTTTGTTTAGTTCATGGCTTCGCATTGACTTTTTTCATACGTTGATTTCCGCTTCTAAAGCGACGCCATGGAGCACGCTTGGCTTGACTCTCTGTCTGAGGACTGGGTTTCCCAGCCCGGTTCTGATTCATCCGCTATCCAACTTCCTCCCCTGAACAACACCCAAGAGACCAAGACCAAACTTAGAGGAACACCGAGTCGAATACCGCGTAGGACGATAGCCTCTCGACCCCAATTATCACCCGCCCGCGATTCGAGTTTCAATATTCTCAGTGAACGAACCCCGAATGGTATCAATATCTCGAGCCACCGAAATAAGCAGCCATCAGACGATTTCAAGCTTGCGCGTGGAACGTTCGCCAGTAGATCTGCATCAGCTTCCACAAGTGCTTCAGTTGTCCACAACACCATTCAACACAAATCGTCACCTGGAAGGCAAGAGGATACGCCTGAGTGGAAGAGACGCCTGGTGTATGGCGACGTCGAGTATGGCGAACAGCGCGACCTATTTTGCTCAGCTGCGACCGGTCTACAAGATATGTTCAAGCCACCAACACCTGGAGGTGACAATGCCGATGGCGAGCAACGCCAGGAGTCCTCTGTGATGCCGTCTAGTCCACCATCATATCCGCAGCGCATTGTGAGTGACGACCTCAAGCTCGACCTGGACCCATTGGACGAACTCGATGAATTCGACGACCAGGAGGATCTGTACCCAAACGATGTCACACCGAGCCCAAGTCCGAGAAGAACACAACGGCAGATCAATTATAAGCTCAATGTGGAAGATTCCATGTTCTCTAGTCTATGCAGCCCACAGGATGAAGACACGCCTTCGCGGCCACGGGACCAGATTTATCGCGATCAAAGCTGCTTGAGCGCTCCTTCGGATGCGAATGACAGTGCGCGAAAGGTTAGTGGACAAAGCGTGGTTCGCAACGAAGATTTCAGTCCTATTCTCATCGGTAGACAGAGCGACAAGGATGGCAACATGGATTTTGCGCCCATTGAGCTGCCAGCAGACAAATTGAAAAACAAACTCGAAGCTTTGCGCATCAACCAGATGCTTCTCGATCCCAACGTTGACCCCCGAACCGGTTTTGATGGCGTTAGTCCCGGACCCTCTGATAATGCCGAGAACACTGAAGACTACGCAACTCGCGGCGGGTTCTTGAATACTCAACGAGGAGGTCGATCTGGAGATGGCTCTTTTCGCTTCAGAGACCTCAGCCCTGGCTTCAATGTTGACACAAGCGGAATGCTTGCGGAAGAATCCCTACAAGCCAGTACTCCCAAACAGTACCCTTCTGTCCGAACAAATACTACCAACCCTTATCAGTCGGACTGCTTTAATATCAGCCCTACCCTCCCGCGGGCCCCATTTCCCAGTCCTGACAAGAAACATGTCTCGTCTGGCCGAAGTGCGCCATCTGGTGGAAGCCCCTTGAAGCTTTTCGGCCCTTATGATACCTTTACCAACCAGACACTTCTCCGACGCATCAGCCAGTTTGAAGAAGGCTTATCTGGTACCCATTCCCAACACTCTCTTGGTCCACATGACCAGTTCGATTCTACTGTGCATGAAAATTATGAACCCATGTCCAGCCCTTCTTTGCCCGTACTAGCCCCTAATCCCGTCGGTCGCAACTTTTTCACTAGGTTCGGCCATGGTGACCTTGAAGGTTACGAGTTCAGCGAGGAAATTTCTTACGCCACCCAAGGAGACGTGACGGCTTATTCCGACAAGGAAAACGATGCACCTCAATCATCGGTCCCTCAATCTCCAGCTTTTCAGCAACCGGAACAACCTTCATCTCCTGACGAGCATTCAGAACTTCTCGTTAGCAGAAGTCGCAACAAGTCGACGTCATCAGCTACCAGCAAGCATCACAAAACAGCATCCGGGTCCAGTCAAATTCGTAGCAAAGCGCTGAGCCAAACGAAGGGCGCGCTAGGCAATGGCAATGTTCCCAAACGTGACAGTGGCTCAGAGGGTAAGAGACCTCGAACGTCTCCGTCCAAGGACCCAACCCCAAAGCGTAGACGCACGCTCCATCGAGCTGACATTGCTTTTGGTCGCGAGTTGCTGGAGGGTGTAGAAGCTGCAAGCCGTGATATGCAGTCTGTGATGGGAAAGAAACGGAAGGATGCAAGGCCAGGCGAGTACCAACTCGCACACCCTAGCGTTCTTGCGATGCGAACAATCCTTCAGCCGCAAAGCCCTACGCATAGTCGTAAATCATCTATTCGCGGTGACCCGAACATGACATTCGATTCGGAGGTTGACGATATCAATGACCTATCGACACATACGCCGTCCCGAGCCTCACATCATGGTATGCTTGATGATACAACAGCAGACCACAGCGAAGTTGACCGGAAGCCATCGATTATGACTCAGGATTTCGTCAATCAGGCTGCACAGATTATGGCGATGATCCGAAGTCAAGTTAGACAGCCGGGCTTGTCTAGTGTTGAAGAATCAGAGGCCGAAAATGCTACACCTGAAGCTGATGATGCCGACGAGTCATATCAGGAGTCTACCAATGAGCCCCTGTCTCGCCCTCCCAGCCGTGAGGGCAAACCAATGTCCAGGGTGCCTCAGTACCAAGAGGATCCAGAACTCATCAACCGGTTGAAAAAGTACCAGGAAATCAGCGACATGGGCGACCTTATCACCTTGTCTATGCGATCCATGGGTCTGGTAAAGGAAGCAATCCTTGCTGATAAAGAAATCGAACGCCAGCTTGAGGGATCGCAGCGCAGCCAACCAGATCTGGATAACGGTGCTGAAGAAGAGGTTATCAGTGACCCGCCTAATATCCGCTTGACAGCAGGTCCTTCCCATGATGGTTCATATGGAAGCCCAACACGATCTCACTCATCAGGAGGCGACACTCACAGGTCTTATCCCACAACTTCTTCACATGCTTCCGAGACGAGGCGGACCATTATGCCGGAAAGCGTGTCACATCTCATTCCTGATCGAGTGGGTAGCATGTATCTTGATAAGCAGAACAACATCTGGATCAAGAGGAAGGAAACTCTTGCTCGTCAGCCTATGAACATATTACCTTCAGACAGCGACGATGATCCTTTCGCCAGCATCCCGGATCTGTCTGTTGATTTGACCAGAGAGATGCAAAATCTTGTCCTCAACAGCGCGAAGAAGAACAGTGCTCTCCGTGGCACAACCCCACCCACCAGTCCTACAAGATCGAGTAAGCATCGATCTGCAAGAGGATATATGACATTGTCCCCTAACGGACACTTGAGTCCGGATATGGCCAGTCTTGCTCGAGAAGAATTTGAGAAACTTGATGCTCGAGTATTGGAAGACTCGGAACTTTATCTCGACCAGTCTATAGAGGAGGAAGGAAGCTTCAACGACGACAGGGCTAGTAGCACACCCTCGATGAGTGCAAAGAGGCGAAACCTTACCATCACATTCTCCTCACCTGTAGCGTCCATCATCCAAGATGTCGTACTAGCAGAGGACTTGGACAACCTGGAGGATGACCCTGAGCTGCCCAGCATGCACCAAAACAGTTCACCGCCCAAGAAGTCACCAGGTTGTGCCAGTGTCGCAAAATCAGCACTTAAGAACAGCGGGCATGGGTCAAGCCGCCATCAACACACCAGCTCACGAAGTGGCCCGGCCTTTGTGCCCCGTCCTGTTTCGCGAATCGACGAGCAAGACGAGGACAGCACCATCGAGATGCCTTTCGACGATCAGCGACAAGTCAGCATCATTGGAGATACCAGCGTCGTCAGTCATAAAACACCTGACGCCCGCCGAACCAGTCTAAGCTTTGTTGTTAACCACACGCCTGGCAATAACTTTTTCCAGCCAACTCCAGATGACAGTGCTTTGATTGGTCAAAATGTTGGAAAGCTTTCTCTCAGTCCCTTGTCCGAGTTTACCTTTAATAATGCCGATTCATCGTTTGGCTTTGAAGTCAGTTATGTCATGGGCCGTCGACACGCGGCCACCGGGAAAGGCTCTAAGAAGGTCATGTCTATGACAATACGGGAACTCGTGGACAAACTTAGTGAGGTAGAGCCTTATGAGCCTTACTGGGAAGACATTACAGAGCTGGATCTTCATGAGAAGCGGCTTGCAAGCCTGCATATGCTAGACCAGTTCTGCGGCAAATTGGTTACACTTGACGCCTCAAAGAACGCGCTGGGGCATCTGGACGGTGTGCCATCCAGCGTCCGGCAGCTCAAGGTTTCTCAGAACATGCTGACTGAGTTGACTTCGTGGGACCATTTGATGAACCTTCAGTATGTGGACATCTCTGGTAACGAGGTTAAGAGTCTATCGGCACTCAGAGGTCTAGTGCACTTGAGAAGTATTCGCGCGGACAACAACAAGCTTACCAGTCTTGATGGTCTCGACACACATGATGGACTCCTTACTCTTCGAGCTCGAGACAACTTGATCGAGGAAGTTGACTTTGCAATGGTAAAGATGGAGCGCCTCACTGAACTTGACTTGGCAGGCAACCAAATCTCGTCGATTCGAAACTTGGAGCACGCACCAGCCCTGGGACGTTTGAAGCTTTCCAAGAACAAGCTTATAAGGTTTACCGTGTCGTCTTGCAACAAGGTGATCCGACAATTGGACCTCAGCGACAACCAGCTTGCTCGCTTAGACATTAGCAATATGCCCAACCTGCACACATTGCACGTTGACCGCAACCGCATTACTGAGTTGACGGGTTTCAGCCGAGCTCGAAAGTTGGACAGCCTGAGTCTCAGGGAGCAGCGGGCTGATCAAGCACTCGATCTTGGTTTCCTCTCTTCGGCTTGCGAGGTCCGGAAGCTCTTCCTTTCTGGAAACTACGTGGGCACTTTCGAGCCTACAGTTGATTTCCTCAATTTGCAGCTACTTGAGCTTGCCAACTGTGGAATCCAGGCGTTGCCAGGCAACTTGGGTCAACTGATGCCCAACCTTCGAACGTTGAATCTGAACTTCAACGCAATTCGAGATCTAGAACCCCTCCGGTTTATTCCACGACTCAAGAAGCTTTTGGTCGCTGGCAACAGGCTTGCTGATTCAACTACAGTGACGGAGCTACTCATCGAGTTTCCACACCTCAACCAACTTGATCTCAGAGATAACCCCGTTACGCTTGGATTCTACGCGCCTATGCAGGTGCTGGTACCTACAGATCGTAATGGATATGTTGACCCATTCATGCTGCCTGATGCAGATGTCGAGCGGGATGCACTTTTTTCTAGTCGGTTGGATGAAATGACTAAATTACGACGACGACTACATCAGATTGTGTTTGTAGCAAGTTGCAAGAGGCTACGCATGTTGGACGGGCTCGGCCTTGACCGAGAAACGGTTCTAGCCAAAGACGCCGTGTTTCAGACACTGGTTGCCGAGGGCTTGTTGCCAGATGAGACGCTCGTTGGCGAGGTTTCGTCGCCATGCAAAGAGGCAACGGAGGGAAATGAGACAATGAGAAGCAGCCGTTGGAATGCGGAAGATAGCTTTGCCTAAAGGGAGCATTGCATTGTACAAAAGAAGGTGGAGAGAGGTGTATGCATATTTTGAACGAGGCGTTCTTGGAATGTTTTTGATAATGACTTTTGATTTTTGCTTGATCAAGGGCGCGAGAGGGCCAGGAAACGGTCATCAAAGGGGTAAAAGGGTTTAACGAATGAACATGGCATGGGTTGCCATTTGGGATTTGGCATTGGCAGGAGTTAATGGGTTGTCTTATTACGAATAATTGCCATAAGTGTCGTATGCATACATGAATTGTATGAATAGACGGTATAAGAAACCATTTTGAATTCTCAAAGTCATCATTCGTGAAATGATTTATCAATTACAGGGCGCATTGACAAGGGAGATCCTGTCATGCGGATAATGGTTGTCGGTTAGTATCAGGTACTTGTCCTTTAATGGTAGTTAATCTTCAAGGGTATAACCTTGCGGAAGCGGGTAAATTGATTGCATAATGAAGTCACGTTGATCGTGCCGTAAGTGCATCGACGTCAGAGATATGCAAATCTCTGGAGAATACGGAACGTAAGCTTTTGTTGATCAACATGCCCGTTGAGCTTGTTGAAGCTTTACCAAGCCGTTAGGTGTCGCGTGACAGACGACGAGACACATACTCCACGTTCTCCCACAAAGAGAAACGACAACGTCTGTTTCTCTTGATAGCTGAGACAGTGTCGAATGATTATCCTTGTTAGATCTAGCCTGGGCGAACACGTTCTGGAATTTTAAAGGGTGCGGGAATCTTCGGGCTGTTGGCCAGGCTAGGATGGCCCTGGAGATGAAATCTATCTCAGTGCACGAGCATGTAAGTGATCCGTCCAGGCCAAGTGTTTGATAATTTTGTTGCTGTAAATAACAACATCCAAGCTTTTTTATTTTATTTGGTCTTTCTTGTCGTTGATCCTTGGGCTCCTGATAAAGAAACCTGGCTACCCAACCGTGGAGATGGCGCCAGGCACGCTTTTGATATGAGAGGTTGATAACAAGTTAGTGTAGTAATTAAAGGGATGATTATCCCTCCTGGCGGTTTTAGCTTGATGATAGAATAAGGAGGAATCCGTTGATCGTCGTAGATTTGCCATCCATTTCGGTGTTTTATCCATCACATCAATTAGGCATGTACCAGATACAGAACGGGCAGGGCTGGCTGTTGGTGGAGAGTGGACAGGTAGGGCGACGGTGGGCCAACGCATACTCCCTAAAACAGCCCTGGAAACCAATCAAGTTTGTGGAGGAGTCAGTGGATGCCCAGACACTTGGACAATCTAGAAGGGCATAAATCACATCACTGGCACTTCCATGACTCTATGTACTTGTACTTTGACTGTTGGCCTGGCACTTTGCTATGCACACAACCGCATCTTGATAAAATGTTGCTAAACAAATAAAAAATACTCATCTTTGTATTCATTGTGAATATTCTATATCCAAAACAACTTCCAGCTGTTTCACGACCCTTCCACAACGATCATCACATCTTACCCAATGGTCCACTGACATATTCATCCCATTTAGTAGATGTACCTGATACAAGCCCCTCGGTTGCCTTTCGATCGTACACCCTCATCTGTCACACCCACACCCTTCCTTAATGATTGATTGCTTGATGGCTCGCTCATCAACCTAGTCCAGTTCTCTCCTTCTCTTCATTTTCCTTCATTTTCCTCTACGGCTCTCTCTCAACATATTCTTGTCAATAGACAATCAACTTCTTACGACCCTTCAGCTATGGCGACGGCCATGGAAGCGGTCGACCCCATGTCGTCACTCCACCGGTCCGTCTCCCAGCACAGCAGCGCTTCATACGCATCCCACGCCTCCCACGTTTCCCACGCATCCAACCGCAGCAACTCCAGAAGCAACCGAAGCACAAGTCTACGATGCCCTCGTGGTCGAAAGCGACCCAGTCAGCCGGTCAGCTCTGCGAGCAGTATCGCCGCCAGTGACAAGAGCCTCACCAGCTTCCCCAGCTTTTCGCCCGATGAGAGACCCGATGATGGCGGCTTCGACTTCCCCGACGATTCTCCCGGCGATACCCCCGTCCCTCAGCCCGCAGTTCCCGAAACTGGACGTCGTTCAATCGTCGATCTTACAGGAGGTTCAGATGCACGAAGTGCCTTGTTCGAAGAGGATCACCCTATTCGTAAGGTGCCTGGCTCGTTACACAACGCCGACGATGAGCACCTTCAACGGTTAATATCGCGCCACGGCGCCGTTGGACTCATTAGACAGATAGCTGAGGACCTCGCCCAACGAGATGCTCAAATCTCCCTTATGCGCCGCCGTGCTGATGAACGAGAACGTGCTCTGCGTAAGATTATTCGAGAGTGCGGTCTCTCCAACCTGGATCTCGAAACTCGGCTCCGAACCGTTGAAGCTGAACTCCGTGCAGCCGGCAAGGGACTCCGGAGAGAGGATACTGGCTTGAGCGACCTCATGAGCGATGCGATGCAAGATACAGTAGGAGTTACAGCATATGGAGAGACGGTAACCAAAAGTGAGACAATTCGGGCACCTAGCCAATCTGTCAATACGCCCAGTGAGAATGGAAAGGGTACATTAAAGGGGTGGAAGGATTATCTTTGGGGTTCTGGAACTGCGAAACGAGCCAGCCGCGCCGGCAGTGTAAACAGCGAAGTCAACCCTGCGACTGTGATACGATCGCACTCTAGCATGGACCGACGACCAACGTTGCAGGATGACCTCTTCAACCCCCCGGATCAGCAGCAAGTTCGCAGTCCAAGTCGAGCATCTAGTATCCAGTCAGGCGCTGCGAGTGAGCGCAAAGCATCATCATCGATTGCAAGTATGGCATTGCGCTTGGTTGCAGGCGGAGCTATTAGCACTCGTGAGGCCGAGTCTAGAGGCCGTGCCGCAAGCAGCACTTCCGCCAAGGGCGGTTCTCTTCGCGGTGTTTCGACTACAAGCAGTCGTGCAGGTCAGACTCGAGCTACATCGGTTGCCGGAGGTCCCAAGGCTTTGATGGCGATGCGTAGAGCGACACCAGGACCGTCTGCCCAAGGATCAGGCAGATCGCAAGAGCAGGATCCTTGGGGCAGTATGCGAGGTAGTCCCCCAGACAACTTATCATCACGACAAGAAAGCTACGGGCCTGTTGAGATGGATGCTATTCAGTCACCAGAGTCTCAGCCACCAACATTAACACATATTTACAACAACTTCCCGAATAGCGAGTACTTAACCGATCGGTTTGGTTTCATTTATGATCAGCGACGCAAGAAACGCCAACGAGAAGCAGCCCAAGTGGCACGGCATATTCGCAAGGGCAGCCGTACAACAGAGATGCTAGCAAACGGCCGAACTGGAATTTCACCAAATGTGTTGGACGATGTTCCCAGCCCCAAAGGAAGCATATCGAGTGAGGGCCGCCCCGAGAGTCTCAACAGCATGGAAGAGCGCAATGCGGAAGAGGGCAAGGCTAAAAGATGGACGGATTATCTGAAGATTGCGACTTTCCCCACAGAACTACTGAGCCATACACCAAGCATAGCGATACCTTCGATAGAGGTGATGGAAGGGGCTCAAACACCAGAACCCGAACTGCACCCTACCGAGCCTGTCAAACCAGCAATCGTTTCAACAAATTCTGGCCTAATTCCATCAGCAAGTACAACCACAGCGGTGGACAGCGAAACCTCGCAGCCCTCCCAGTCAGAGTCGTCGATTGCGCTCACTAAAGACGATGCCGAACCTGTCAAGCTGCTACTTCAACAGTTGAGCGATGTGCACGACGCTCTCCAGCGCGACAAGACGGTGCGATGGAACGATTTCCTGCGCAAGGTGCGTGCTGAGCGGAAGCGCGAAGGTGAAGCAGCCATTGCTGCCGCCAAGTCAGCTGCTGATGCACGCTACGAACAACCTGCCATGATTCTACCAGAGACTCGAGTAGCCGATGGTGAGATGATTGGAGTCTCAGGACTTGGAGTTAAAGGCAAGGTTGGACGAGCCAAATGGAACGAGTTCAAGACCCTAGTGTTGGGCGGTATTCCAGTTGCTTATCGCGCCAAGGTGTGGTCTGAGTGTTCAGGGGCCACGGCTCTTCGCATTCCTGGTTATTATGAAGATTTAGTCGCTCAAAGTGGCGAGGATGACGATACTGTCGTTGTTAGCCAAATCCAGATGGATATCAACCGAACACTTACGGACAATATCTTCTTTCGCAAGGGCCCAGGTGTGAAGAAGCTGAACGAAGTGTTGTTGGCGTACTCCAGACGCAACAGGGACGTCGGTTACTGCCAGGGCATGAACCTGATTACCGCCAATTTACTGCTCATCATGCCATCAGCCCAAGATGCTTTCTGGGTTTTGACATCAATCATCGAGAACATTCTTCCTCACGGCTACTATGATCATTCGCTCATGGCTTCACGTGCAGACCAACAAGTGTTGCGACAATACGTTGCACAGGTCCTTCCTAAGCTTTCAGCACACCTTGACTCTTTGTCCATCGAGCTTGAGGCGTTGACCTTCCAGTGGTTCTTGTCTGTATTTACGGACTGTCTCAGCGCCGAGGCTCTTTTCCGTGTCTGGGATGTTGTACTTTGCACCAACGATGGCAGTACATTCCTCTTCCAAGTAGCACTTGCGCTACTCAAGCTCAACGAAGGGAACTTGCTTCAGTGCAACACGCCCGCCGGAATTTATACATACATCAGTCACCAGATGACAGAGCATGCTATCAGTATCGATGGTCTGCTCCAAGCAAGCGAAGGATTACGAAAGGTTGTCCGACGTGAAGACGTTGAGCAACGGAGAGAGAAGGCGATACAGGCAGAAAAGGATATGATTATGGCTCGTGATGGAGACTCAGCCAGAAGCAAACCCATCGCCGAGACCGAGAGTGAAACCGGCGCAGAGTAAAACTCACGGTACGAAAATGGAGAAGATAAAGAAGTACATGATAGAAAAATTGGACATGGAGGATTGGACAAAAGAGCAAGGGATGTTACTTGGAGTTTGCGTCTCAGAAG